GGAACTGTTAACATTTTTCTCAGGTTGTCATAAATAAAGCTGATCTATTTGTGTTTCAACAATTTGGTGATGATTTTTTCTCTAGTCAAAACGTGGTGTGCATATTCTTTTTGTAATGCATGCCAAGATGCTGTAGACAGCTCAGGTCGCAAATGTGTTCAGGCAAATAAATAACTGCTGCTGGAACAACGCTTTGCAATACTATGTTCTTTCTGTCAGTGCTCATGTTTTATAGAGTAATATAATCTGTAACTGCATTTGGGAAGTAGGAATTATCTTCTGGCTCACCAGCAATGCTGTGGTGCTTCCTGCATGGCTCAGTTGAGCTGTATCAAGTGGGGATGGAAATGCCTCTAACAGCAGATGCTGTGACTGCAGTGTTCCTGCAGGACAGCAAAGATTTGGGTTTGACTTCCTCCTCCTGTGCAGAGGTGGGAGCTGTTCCTGAGGCTTCTGCTGCTTGTGGTAAAGTGCTTTTTGGCCAACAAGGTTCTAGATCTCCAGAAGTGATTTCCATGGAGAGGATGAGCTTTGCTTGGCTCTTGGAAAAAGAGCCCTGTAGCTCCTCAGTGAAGGTGGCTTTTTGAGCACCCTGAGAGCAGAATGTTGTCAGAGTGGCATATAAATAACCTGCCAGGAATTTCCTTGTGGTTCAGCTGTGCACAACTGCATTGTCAGTGCAGCTCTCTGCCCAGCCCAACAGTTAATGTGGAGCCACTTGAAGGTGCCCAAGTCTCCTTTCTGCACAGAATCCAGATGCTGCCCTGGGGCCTCCTTGGAGGAAGAGGCAGTTAACAAAAAGCTAGGTAAGGTGCAATGGCTGCATTTCCATGTCAAAACCCTGTGGTATTTGGGAATTGCATACTGAAACTTTCAAGCTTTCAAATTGGCATGTGTTTAGTTGCTTTACGCAATTGAATTTTCAAATTTATTTTCAAACTCTAAAGTGTACCATTGGAATGTATGGGAGAATTTTTGTCGAGAAAAGTTTGTCTGTGCTGACAGTTTGTAAAGTAGAAACTTTACAAACTCCATCATCTGTGTTGCTTTGGTTTTGCATTCTAAGTAAGCTATGAGTTTTTTTCTTCAAGAGGGAAACAATAAAACATGTTAAAATGATATTTTTGCTGTAGCTGTACAGCACTTCAGAAGTCCTATTTTTCTCTGATGTACTGAAGATGCACCCAAATTTCCTCACTGAATCTTCAAATGTGCTTATACTTAGTTTACTTTGTCACAATCATGACATCTTTCTCTAGGGCTTATGAGATTGCATAATGAAGTGTTTTTAGAACCCAAATAGTTTTGCTTCAATTTCAGTGTAATTTATCTCCAAAACCATGGACAGAATTTTTTTATTTAGCACTGTAATGGCCATGTATATATGCCTATTTAGCAACTCTAAAAATACAAAGCAGTGTTCAAATCTTTCAGTATGTGGTTCTCATGCAGTTCCTACTGAATTACCAGACCAAAGATCTTTGAGATATATTTAACCTAGAGCAACAACAATTTGGAAAGAATTGTTTTATCATTTGCAGACCTCAAAAAAGGGAGATGACTTCTATAATAATATCACAATATAAGGGCTTATTTTTGGAATACAAACTGTCTGACTCTGTGTGTGTATGTGCAAACATCACCCTAGATGTAAAGCCTCCATCAAAATTCCAGTGACGTTAAAAGGAAGAGTTTTTATTTACTTCCACAATTCTTGGACAATGACTGAAAATATTGACTGGATCCAGCATAAGATCTTTCTGTACCAGAGAGTACTAAGACCTGTAGATCAGGTAATTACTTTGAGCTGAGGGGTGGATAGTAAATTTTTATTCTTCATTATTACTTTAAAAATCAGCAATTTTACTTTGAGTCCAATCAGGTGTTGTTCTGCATCCTTTGACACTGAAGAGTAGCTCTACAGTACTTGTGTATTGAAAAAGAAACACACCAAGGGGTGATGACCTTTATGGGTGTGAAGTGTTCATTCAGGTGCATCTGGGTTATTAAGAGAAAATAAACTAAATAAAAGCACTCCAAAGCCTTGAAATGTCTCCAATAAGAACACAAGCTGGTTATGTAGGAATTTGTTAAATAGCTTAAGTAAGTTTTTCCTTATATGCAATGATGGTGGGAGTGTTGCTTTTTCTACATCTGTTCTATTAGATGTGACTGGAGAGCTGAAATCAGTACAATTAATGCTTTTAACAACAGAATGAAAGCATTTATTATCATCATGTAGTAAGATATTGATTTACAGGTGTAAGTAAATACTGTGTAGGTGTGAGGAAAAACTTTACTACAACACTCCTGATTTTCCTGATCCACCTAGACAGTTTTATGCCTCTGGTAGGGTTTGCTGCTTCAAATAAACAAGGAAGATATAAAAGTAGAGCAAGCACAGAGAAAGAAGGATTCCTCTATTGACTTTTATAAGCTGTCAGTTTATCTAGTGCAAGCTCAAATGTAGATCTTGTCTTTACTTTTCTGTGGGGTTTTTTTGGTTTTGTGTTTTTTAATTGGACAATCTTGTGCTCTTCTGTTGATCTCAGATGTGTGTAGGTCACTCTTTTCTCTTGTAGTTCTCTCTCATAACCATAAACATACGTGTTTTTCATGAATTTGCTTTTTGTAGGTTTTTTTTTCAAGATTATAAAAAGGACTGGTGAAGGCTGAAGCTTTATATGCTGTACCAGGATTATTTAATTTTTAAGTTACTTCAAGCAATACTATTTATTTTGAATGGGTAATCATGGTAATCATGTATCATTAATCATGTAACCTTGGTAATCAACTATTTTTAAGTGTTGGAATATGAGATCATAGAAGGAATGCAGTGAGACATACCAATTTATTTCCATCATTCATACAAGTTAGCATAGCTCAAAATAAGAATGTTAGTACCCCATGAGGTCAAGCCTGCCTAGCCTAGGAGTAATAGGAAACATTAATTACTTCAAATATTTTGATCTATATTGCTAATTTACATGGAAGACTGTAAATTCCTTGCTCAATATGAAGTACTATAATAATGCCTATATCACTCTTTATATTATTTAAATGCTATAAATAGAAATCAAAATACATGTATAGCTAAAAACAAGTGGTTTAGCTTTCTCTTTGCAAAGCTTACGTGTGATCTCATTGGGATTAAGCATTCTAAAGGCACTGAAAAAGCCCAGGGAAAGCCTTGCTGCTTTAATCAACAGTTGGCAGGATTAGGCTGCATCACCTTTACCCATATGAAGTGAAAGGGAAAACTCCTGCTGACCTCTAGGTTAGGTGAGATTCTGCTTTGGAATAACTGTGGATGCTTGTAGGTGGACTCAAACTTCTTTGTGTGTATTTCTAAGCTTTCAAATCAGCTCAAGCTTGTGATTCTGGACAATGCTGCATGTGTTTAAAAGTAATAATGTACCAAGAATGGTGCAGGTATAGCTTTGCATCTGTGTAGGTTTTATTGTAATATTGCATAGAATATAAGCAATATTTCTATAAAGGTTTTACTTTTGAGTCTTGCAGAAACATCAAACAGCAGATGGTCTGCACAGTATTGTGCTAATAAAGTTAGCACAATCCTGTCAAAATGTACCAAGGTTGCTAAGTATCAGGTACCCCAATATCTGTCTGATTCAGATAGAAAATGAGCATCCAAATCAGGGTGCAGGTGTACCAGTATAAAAAGAGCCGTAAAGAAAGGCAGTCATGTGTATGTCAATCACATGAAGTGTGTTGTGTCTAAGGCACATGAGGAGTGCCTGGGGGTGTTTAGCCTGGAGAAAAGAAGGTCTCAGGGAGACCTTACTGTGCTCTACCATTGCCTGAAAGGAGGGTCTAGTGAGGTGGGGGTAGGCCTCTTGTCCCAGGCAATCAGTATGAGAGAAAATGGCCTCAAGGTGTTCTAGGGGAGAATCAGGTTGGACATAAGGAAGAATTTCTTCACAGAAAGCCTCGTTAAGCATTGGAATGGACTGTCAAGTGAGTGGCGGAGTCACCATCCCTAGGGGTGCTCAAGAAATGACTGGATGTGCTACTTAGTGCCAGTTGACAAGCTGGTGTTCCATCAAAGGTTTGATCTGATGATCTTGGAGGCCTTCTTGAACCTCAATGGTTCTGTAGGACATGGTTTTGCCAGGTGTGTTTAATGGACACACATGAACAGGCACAATGTCAAACACGGTGCATTAGAGTACTCTGCAAACAACATGCCTAACTAAGCCTTTGCCACTGACCTTAGCCTGAAATCCTTCTTTGAGGCAAGACTAACACTGGAGTCTCCAGACCATGATCCCAAGGTCTTTGGTGCTGAAGTATCTGCTGAGCAGACTGAACATGCACAGAAAGAACAGCTAAGAGGGCTCCAGGCACCAGATTTGCATGTGGCCAACTTCCTCGTGAGCAGAGTAGCATGGGTGCATCTAATTATAAATGTACCATTGTTGGGGCAGTTTAGAACAGATAGAGAGGAAGAGTAAAACACTTGAAAAAGATTCACTGCCTGCTCAGAAGCCTTCTGGAACTATTTGAAAACCTGGAAAAAGGGAACTTGCAGGCTTTTGAATCACAGTGGTTAAGCACCTTGGAAGGAGTAAATGAAAAGTACTCTCTGTGCTCTCACTTGTGCTCTGGCCATAAATAACTGTTGAATTGAAAGAGAGGGAGTGGGAGGGAAAGGAAATTGAACACCGAAACAACAGAAATAATTCTCAAGAAAGACTATATCTAGAAAACAAAATTCTTTTGGTACTTGGAATTTCACTGTTTTTATCGATCCTCTCCTGCTGTTTTGATCCTGATTCTTTTCCCTACTTATGGGCCTTAACACTTCTTACCTAGTTCTTAGAAGACAGAAGCTCCTCAATAGAAATTAGTTGATGACCTGCTAAGTCCTGGCTTCTGACAGTGGGCTGTGGAAAAACTGAAGATGATGGAGCTCTGGTTTAGCACTCCTGGTCTGGCACCGAGTATGCGACTTGGATAGAATTTAGGTGTTCAAGCACAGGTTGTTGTAAAAGGCATCACAAGTATAATTTGAGTGGGTATCATGGGAGGTATCTAATCTGGAGATGCCTTAATTTTTATTCTGAAAGTTCCATGGTTTTCAGTGTCTCTGGCTGGATGAAGAGTTGCTGGTTATTCTGGATGCTGTTCTGCATGTTGCCGTGTTTTGCTCACTTATCATTCAGTGTGAAATATGGAAATATTTCTGTGATTACCCTGTAACTGCTGGACTAAAAATATAACACTTTGGTACCCTAGATCCCTCAATCATAGATGTTCACTCGAGTAGTCAATTCTGCAGACACATAAACACATCTTTACCAATGGTAATCAGAAAAAATTATTCCCTCAGTCCCTTTTTGTGTATGGTAGCTCACACTTATAACACCCTTAAGGACTGGGATCAGTTTTCCAAATTAGGCCCCTGTTATTAAGGGGATGTAGCAGAGTTTTGCTGTATGCTTTGCTAGAAAAGCTGCTGATGTTAAATATAAGTTATAGATTAAAGCCAAGACAGCTGTGTCTTTCTCAGGAGAAGAATGAACACTTCAGTGAAACACATATGCCATCTCAGTTTAATGAGCTTTGTAGGTGATAGATGAAACAAATTTTTCTGAACTTAATTAGAATAAAAAAAAAAATCAAGAATCAGAAACTTTTGCTTTCTCAAATATTTAATTGATAATACTTGCAGGTATCTAAGCAACCTGTTTTCTAATGACAATGTGAAGAATAATTAAATAAAACCAAAACCAGAACAAAAACTATTCTGCAGAGTTCTTGGGATTAAAAGCAGCAAAATATAATTTGACATTTATCATTTCTGCAAGAAACTTCATTGTTCAAAAAGAAGCAGCAGTTAATAGAAACTGATTATAATAATTTTTCTGCTCTCTTATCCCCTAACATAGCTCTAAAGGCAAATTTGACTTGAGAATTCTGCTGCACAGGAGCACACCCATGACCCAGGTGATCCTGTTTAGTGTTGTGTTCAGAGTAGCATGCATGCAGCATCCAGCCTGCTACCATAGCAGTGTAACGGAATCTGTCCCATCTCCTTTTCTACATCTCATGACAGAGACTTGCATTTCAAAAGACTTTAGTTCAATTTAGATAGTATCACATATTATTAGATAAGTAATCGAGCCACTTGGATATGTTGTAGTTTCCTTTCAGATAAAAGCAAACAAAATACTAGATCTTAAAAAAAATACTGATTATAAATTTTGCTAAAACTTTAACTACTTGGAGAAAAAGTTTTAATTGGGCAAAGCACTTGAATCTACTTAATTATTGTGTTAGAGTATTCAAATTTCCAGGCATTCTGAGTAAAAGATAATCAAGATAACCAAGTTTTAACCTTCCTATCCTCAAAGCCAACTGACAGAGGAGTTATTTATAAGGTTGCTTGCGTTTTGGATCCTGAGCGATGCAGAGAGCAACACATTCTTCTGCTCTTTTCCAGCAGTACCTGGAAGAATTGAAAGAGAGATGATGAAATGTGTTTAGAGGGAAATCACACTCTCAAACCAACAAATTAAATATGGATGGTATTAAAAAGGGGGAGTAGACACTTTATCAGCTTTAGCCATGCTCTATCTCTTCCTTTCCATTCTCTCTGGAATGAAACAGCTATATGCATCCTACTCCAGGAAGAGAGCTGTGTTCTCAGCCTGAACCCCAAATCTTCCTGCACTGATGTTGATTAAGCCTGGTCTGATGCTTCGAGCATCTGCTATGAGTGCCAGTGGGTAGTTTCAGGCCATATATCTTTACACATGCTCTTTTGTATGCTGTATTTTCCTGGCAGTGCTTTCTTCTTTTTACTTCCTCTTCTTTTTTTTTCTTTCTCTTCTTTTTTCTCTCTTTTCATTTCCTTCCTCCCTCTCTCTTTTCCTTTCCTTCCTCCCTTCCCTCTTCCTTCCTCTCTTTTTTCGTCTTTTATTTTTATTTATTTATTCTTATATTATTTTTTTTATCCAGCCTTTATCATAAGAGGTGAACTAAAATGAATGCCTAGCTTTTCCTCCTGAAAACACTTTTGCCCTGAGAAATAACAGAGGCTATTGCAAACCCTGAATTCACAGATGCTGTGTTTCTGCACCAGTGATGCCCAACATGGTGTGCATTGAATACACAGAATTTATGTTGCTGGAAGCTGGGGGATCATGCACTGAACCCTTGTTCATCTCTACTCACACAGACTGGGCACGGACAAGCAGGCTGTCACCAGCAGAGAGAGTCAGGGTTTTACTATCCATGGAAACAGTTGATGTGCCCTCCTGAAGCAAAAGAAGTTTGTTTAATTTTCTATGTCCTGTCCCTAGCAGAAAGAAAATGCTGCATGTACATAAATCATTCCTATTGAAAGAGCACCTCAAACCTGTTCTGTTTCATGAGGGCTAGCTAAATATTCAGTTGATCTTGTCTATCTAACACTATTAGCATAGATAAAAATATGTTTCATTGTTTCCTATCATAAAGCAGCAACCCATTGCCTGATTCTTGGGGTACACTGCCACCAACCTAACCTAGCAGCCTACAAGTTGGTACAGCTCCAGAAATTACAGAGAGAATCTTCTGGAGTAGTTTAAGCTCCTCTTCTACTTTTCTGATTCCTCCTAGCTTTGTAAGTCTTGAAGAGCAGCTCACAAGTCAGCAGGGGGTTGACTGAAATTGCTGAATCCTTCCATATTGGAATGCACTAGTTATTATCTTGTCAAGCAGGGGAGCCAAGTTCTTGCCAGCCACAAGGTCTTGATTCCACAGGCTGATGTAAGCTTCAGTGTAAACAAATGTCTTACAAGATAATGACTTCTTTAATTTGTATTTGATAGTGCCTGTGAATTTCAATAGAAGAGAAACTAATAGAAATATCTCTCTCCCAAGCTAGCCTGACTTGTGTAAGCAAAAATTAGCTTTTCTTTTTCGTTGGGTTGCAAACGCATTCTAGAAGTAAACTGAATGAAGGACATCTGGATCACCTGCAATTCTGAGTTAATATAAACAAGTTTTTAGGATTTTTTATTAGCTTATTCTACTTGATTCCAGTTTGAATTCAGGATGAGGGCAAATGTTTCCAGGCAGAACTGAGAGGTGATGTTGCTTTATTGCTTGATCTGATATATTTACAGGATATAGCCTAGGTAGGGTGCATGAAAATTCCCAGCAAGGATGAGTGCCAGTATCTCTATCATCAACATACATGATGAGGAAAAAGAGGCTATTTTTATTGTGGCAGCACTTTATAGTTATTTTTTCACCACAGTTTAAAGCTGAAAGGTGATGCCTATTGGTGATCTTTTCGATGAGAAGGAAGGGAATCATTCCAGTTTCTGTTGCTAGAAGGCTTTACTACTGTTCAGTCTGAACTTAAACATGAACTCAACAGTTAACAAGTGTGAATTGCCACATACCAGCTGCCATATCCAGATATCCGAATTCTTTTTACTTTTCTCAGTTGTTCCTGGTCCATAAACTATAGCCTAATTAAAAAAAAAAAAGTAATGATTTCATCCAAGTGACCAAAGTGTCCATATTCATCTCCCAACAACATTTAAAACATTCTATTTTTACAGGAGAATATTCAGAGAATATGTTATTTTTACAGACATTAAAATTCACACTATGTTTGGTTTTCTCATATTGATTCCTACTGATAAAAAGGGAACTGGTCACACCTGCCACTCCTTATGCTCCTCTGCAGCCTTGCTTATCTAGTCCTTCTGCCTCCTCCCACTCTCAGTTTTGCATCTATATGCTTCCTGCTTCTGTTCCTGGAACAGGCACTTCCTCCTCATGAACTGTGGGCCCTGTCAAGAGCCTGTTGAAGTAGAAAAGTTTCTTCCATTAACATTAAAAATGCTGCAGACAGGACTTCATCTTTCTCATTTTCTGCCCCCTCTGTGTTCTTCCTGATATTCCCACACTCTGTCACTTTGCTGTCAACTGTATTGGATTCTTTGGAGCGTGACTCCAAGTAATTCTGGGGAAGAATATGTTTTGTAAACATCACGCATACAGCACAGATATCAAATGTTGACAGCTTCATTTACACCCAAACTAGACTGTGTTTGACTAAACTGTGAAGTGGAATGTTTTAGGGCATCCTAGGCTCACTGGTTGCTGTCCAGTTTTCCTTGTTTCCACTTTACATAGATGGAGGGAGAGAAAAAAGAAATGTGTTTACACACCCAGATTAGACTTGGACCACAAATGCTGCTCAAACACATAAAGAAGCTTGAGTAGTATTTGCATCACACCAGTGCTTCTGATCTGGGAAATATGGGGAGAGGGACAGGGGAACGAACTAGCTGATTTAATCCCAAAGAAAATGAACAGAAATAAAGTTCAGGTTGATTCTGGACATCGAAGTAATGAGCTAGAAAGCCCCTGCCCTAAGCTAGTCGAAACAATGGACCACAGACAGGTACTTCTGTGGGGGTGCATTAACTTTTTCTACTCTGTATTGATCCCAGGCCTGGATTCCCTCATTCTGAACAGTAGGCACTAATTATCCACACCTTTAAAAATATCTCTTTGTTATTAGAGAGATTATACTCCCTTACCTCTGTTTCAAAGTTATCTCCAAACACACTCAAGGATTTTTTCTGTTTTATTTCATTACGATGATCATTTAACCAGCTTGAGAAGGAAAATGGCTCCATAACAGAAATGGAATTCAGTGGGAAAGGTGCTTCTTTCAGGAGTTCATCTGTAAGTAAGGCAGGGGGCTATCAGTGATACTTGCTTCCCTTGCTCTTTGCAAACATTTTAATTGAGGGATCAATTTACAGACACTATCTAGTCAAAAGTCAGTTGTAACAGTAAGCAGTGCTATGGTCATTATCAGGACTTTCTGAGATTGCAAGATGCATATGTTATTTGTGTGTCTTTATGGAGTGACTTCAAAGATGTTGTCAGAACTGTGTGTTCAAACAGTATGCAATACACTACCTAGTTTCCTGGCATAGTCCTCATTCTCTTTCAGACCACCTTTTGCACTGGTAAAATATGATGTATCATCTCTGAGCCTTTGCTCATATCATATCCCTCTAAAAGAGAATTTGGGCCTATATTAAGCTTATTCTACCTCTCTCACATAGTTGGTACTGCCTTTTATGTTTCTTCTCCCCTATGTTTCTCCTCCCCCATGTGTCCCCTTTTTTTAAATACATTGGCCACAGTGAATCAAATGGATTAGCATAACCTAAAATTTAATACAATGTATTTTTTGGTGGTGTTCTCGGAGCATGTAGTGGTTTTTGGTTTTGGGAGCTGGATTTAATTTCCAGTAATTCTCCTTCCTAAATAATTTGATTTAAAATAGCTGGAGGACTAATTGCAGTATAGCTGGCAAAATTTATGCTGCATGTTGCTGGTATACGAAATGAGCTGTAGTTATTTACCAGCTGACAGTGAAGTGCAGAGACAGAGCAATTACCGTGGTGATTCTATGTAGCTTGTTCTGAGATGCCATGGGGGAACACCCATTGAGTAATTTCAAGCAGTAGTGCCAACCAGATGCTGGAAAAACTCCCTGGGTGGTTTGCTCCCAAATGTATTGTGGTAATAAACCTGCAGCCAAATCTTAGTCTTGGTGACAGTAATAGAACAGCTCTTTTTTAAGCACCACCGTATTCATTATGCAATATTCTTTTGGTACTGTTCTAATGCTGAATTTGACTGCTCTGCAGTGTTTTGTACCATTCCAGTTTTTCATCCAAGACTATTTGTACACAGACTATGAACAACATGTGAGAGGGTCAGTGCATGCAGGGGATGGCAGTGTACTGAAGATGCTGTTGATGCTCATGGGATCCCAGTAAGCACTGAGTACATCCATGTCCAGATAATCTGGGTGGGATCCTACTTCCTTTGTTGTAGAAACAAAATTTTGTTCTTCAAATTTCTTCTCCATTATTTTGGGAGGTTCCACCTGCTTAACCCACTGTGGTCTTTTACCTCACCCATGCTGTGATTTTGTGATATTAAAATAATTATATTTTTAAAAGTAATTTCTCTTGACAATGCCACTTTCAGGAAATTTTGAAAGTAATCTGAAGAGATCTGTACCAAAAGAAAACATTTTGTGTTTGAAATCTTTCTTCTTCCTACTTTTAAATTATTTAATTCAAATATCTTAAGCAACTTTTACTGAAAAGCAAACTCATAAAGAGAAACTAAGCATCACCAAGGGAAAAAAGAAAGTCTTTATATTAGATTTATTTTTTTTCTGAACTTGTAAGCATTAGCAAGATCTAGTCTTGAACATTCTATATTTTGTTTTCTGATAACGCTAAAATGCAATGTTAAGGTATTTGGTGATTTAGTTTTGGTGCTTCATTTTTCTCACTGCAATATCACTGCTTGGGGTTTTTTTCCTTAATTTTCACAGGTTCATCAAACATCCTTTGGGGGTAATTAGGAACACATATACACTTTGTCCTTAAATTATAGATACAAGCAGATGAGGCTGCAGGGGAAAATTGCTTTTTTGACTTGGGACTGATGTAAAACAAAGGTCTAAAATATTCTGATATGTGTTCACACAGCAGAGGAGGAAAAGAAAATTAATCAAATTTTATAAGAAGGTACTCTGTGGAACTGGTGTTCCTAAAGATATTAAAATATTTTGTTCTATTAATAGCTGAAATCTTTACCAGCTGTTTTTGTTTTATTTTGTTTTCAGATTTAAACTCGCCATTTGAATTCAGAAATGTTTCTTGTAGTTTAGGAATACAAAAAAGTTACCCATTGGTAGAACTTTCTGATAAAATGCATGTCCTAGTTGAGAGAGGTATAAGGATTTTTGGTGGTGGGTTGTTTGCTCTTAAAAAAAAAAAAAAGAAAAGTATATGGATGTTGGTAGGATTAGAGGCAAATATGGAGATACCAAAAAATACTGAGATGCTGTGAGTATCCTGCTCAACTTGGGGAATATTTCTTCTCCACAGTTTAAAAATTCTAGCATCAAGCTGACAAGTAAGTTCAGATTTTATATGCTGGAGAATGAATAGCAAAAAACTGAGTCTCATGGATGGTCATTGTGGTGTTTTATGCAAGGAGAACTGTGAATGTTCCCCGGGAGTTGCAAGGAACTTGGGGTAAAAAAGAAAGCCAAAGTACTTGTTTATATTTTGACCAAGAAGCAACACAAATCTAACAACAAGGAGTCTAAGTTTGTAGTCTAACTTCTGTCTGATATTCTCCATATATATGATTTTGCAATTTTCTCTTTCTGCTGGTCTCTGACTCCAGTTGCCCTGATCAGCTGGGACAACACACAGGGGACAACAGCACAGAGTGGCCTGTGCCTACTCGGGGCCAATGTAAAGTGGAATACATCCTGCACTTACTATACTGTCCTTTCTTGCTTGTGATAAACAGCCACCCTTTAGCAGTTTAATTTACTTTCATGTAAGTGTGGACTTTTCTTTATTTAGATTTCAAGTTCCTCAGTTTAAGAGCTTTTTTTTTTTTGACACTTGTCTTATCAGCAGGCCCTAGCCTGTGATGGGGTTTTGGCTTAATACTACCTTTGATGTTAATGGCACTTGCTCAGTGACAGCATAATGGCCTTTGAAAACTGTGCTTGCATGGAATTAACCTTTTAGTGTGACCTGGTATGATGATTTGATTATCTGTTACTGTAGAACAAATGAGAGAGTGCTGTGGTGATGAGGTACGTGACAGATGTGTGACATTATCAATAGACTACTTGACTGAGTCCTTATTTAACCCTGCTGCTGATCCCTTGCATGATGCCAAAAGCTGTAGGTGTCCTAATGCTTGTGAACTCGAGCTAACAAGCTACAATGAAGAGGATCCAATCTCTTGCTGTTTCAAATATATTGGAGTTGAAGCCTAGTGCTTCTAAAGGGACTGAGTATTTCTGATCAGGTTAATGAATTATATTTAGATATTGTTGTATATTTTTCTGTTTAGCCTGTACGTTTGCTTTCAACAGTATCTGAGGAAGTGCAAGCCTGTTTTTCTGGAGTTCTGTTCTAGCAACACTGTGAGACAAGGAGACAACATGTTTAATGATGGTAAAGGTAAAAATATGCCAGTAAAATGCAAGAAAATGGCACTTCTAAGCTAGACAGCTAATAGTGTTGTGTAGCTTTTTCCAAGTAATATAACACTATGTGGAACATCAAATCTAATATTTTCTTACATTTTCAGACATCCATTTGAAGGTTCAATACTAAAGTCCATTTCAGCAGATCATTATTATTAAAAATTTATATCACAGCAATGTGTTCTTTATGGGATTATAGCTTTTTTCAGGTTTTAATTACAATGTGATGATACCATGTTAAACTGAAAAATGTTGTGTTTACTGAATGAGTTTGTAAATATTTTAAGAAAGAAATTACAGGTTTTAGAGGAACTTGACTTCAGTTAAACAATACTGAACTGCACTGAGACTGAGATTATTAAATTGGGCAGAGAAGGAGAGAACAGCTTGCAAGAAAAGAGCAAGTTGAATGTATAAGTAGTTTGGCCTCAACAGAGACTGTCTAATTTGAGCTTGCTGGGACAATTGTGTTTCTGATGCAATAAAGGGAACAGGTAAAGAAAATTGACACTGACCTAACCAGGTGTATGTGGCTGATTTGCTTAACCCACATGTAACATGGAAGGCCCCCCTTCCCTTCCCTGGTGACGCCTCTAAGCTTTCTTGTCAAGAAATCAAACTGTCTCATTCTCTTGAGCCCTACTATCCCCAAGCTCTTCCCATAGCTCTTGTTTTCAAGATTTGTTCAAAGGAAAAGAACAATAAACCACTTGAAATATATCAAAATAAGGTCAACTGATTGCATGTTGACTTTATGAAAAACTGTATCTTTCAGTGATGTGTCATCCTTCACTTGTAGACAGAGTGTTCTAGATGGAACAACGTTCAAGTCTTTAAATCCCCATATATTCTTCCTAATTATCCCACCGTCCTGAGGTGCTGTGCTGGCTCAGTCTGTTCCTACATGCTGTGCCCCATCTCCATGCAAGGATGTGACACAGTCCATTACAAATGGTGCTTCCCTCTATAGCAGCAGAAGACATCATTCAAAGTGGAGTGATTGAATCCTGTTTTTTCAGCCTTTAACTGAGTGTAAAATGGTCCAGACTACAGATAAATAGCTCATGAATTATTTTAAAATTATGTGCTAATTTATTTTTGTACACTTTCTAATCATCATCTCCATGTCTCCAATCCTATATCATAATGAATAATTCCAATGATAGAGTTTTGCAGCATTTCACATTTACTGCCAGTAATAATACATTCCCTAGGATGCTTTTTCACATATGTGCCTACCTAATTTCTATTAAAAAGTCTATTTTATTCTCCAAGTTAACAGAAATGTCAATGAGACTAGTAGGATTCTAATACCTCTGCAAATAAAACCAGTGAAATGAATGACATAATTTCAGACATCTGGGTTTTAGCCCGGTCCATATAAAAATCCAGAGTGAAAGCACTAAGAGCACAACTTTGAGGGTTGTTGGTTCATTTCCCTGTTGTGGAATATAGACACAGAAGCATTTAGTTGATAATGCAGTGCTCACTTGGTGCAACCATACATTTCCCTGTGTAAATGTAATTTTTTTTTTTGTAGCTTGCCCCGAGAATTTTAATGACTGCTAATTTATGACTTGTCCATGTAATTATTTCTGGGAAGATTTTTCTTTGTGTCATTAAATCTATGC